CTTAACCTCTAGGCCACGAGAGCCCCTACTAGAGCGTAACATACAAAGACAAGAAGTAGAAGGAAGAGAAATAAGGACGATAGATGTTTGACAGCAAAGAAGAAGCAAACAACCACCCACACATCTGGAGCAGCGACTAGCACAATGACACATCCTTGGTCCTACAGTGCTCATCCGAGTTCAGTTGAGAAGATGAGTTCATCAAATCAGAATGATATTCATAAATCTTTCATTATCAGCACGATACTTATAAATAAACCTTTCATTATCAACATGAAAGTCATAAATTAAATCTTTCATTATCAACGTGACAGTTATAAACTTTTCATTATTAACACGATAGATATAAATTTAATCTTTCATTTTCGGCATGTTAATTATAAGCCTTTCATTATCAACATGATAGTTATAAATAAAATCTTTCATTTTCGGCATGTTAATTATAAACCTTTCATTATCAAGAAGACAGTCATAAATCAAATCTTTCATTTTCAGTATGATAATTATAAACCTTTCATTATCAACATGATATTATAAATTAAATCTTTCATTTTCAGCATGATAATCATAAACTTTTCATTATCAACATGATAGTCATAAATTAAATCTTTCATTATCAACGTGACAGTTATAAACTTTTCATTATTGACATGACAGTCATAAATCAAATCTTTAATTTTCGGCATGTTAATTATAAACCTTTCAATATCAACATGATAGTTATAAATTAAATCTTTAATTTTCGGCATGTTAATTATAAACCTTTCATTATCAACACGATAGTTATAAATCAAATCTTTCATTTTCAGCATGATAATCATTAACATGATAGTTATAAATTAAATCTTTCATTTTCAGGAGATTGTCAAGTAAAACAGAAACATCCCGGTGGTAGACCGTCGTCAAGTAGAACTACTAAAACATCACAACAGCTGACCATCAATCAGAACAGAAACAACACCGCATCGGTAGACCGTCAAGTGGACTGTGTGTGAACTCACCCAATGGGCAGGGCCGTGAACTCATACTCGCTGGACAGGACGAGCAGCGTGGGTCCCAAGGTCACGTCAGTCACAACGTCCATGCCTAGCACCGGAGACAGGGGGCTGCAAAAAGATTTTCGTTTCGGTAAGAGTTCTACGGCACTCACAGCACAATCAGGCCACATAAGCGCCGGAAATTACAGGTGTTACAAGACAGGAACAAACGCAAAAAAGTAGTTTTAGTTTAGTTTTAGTAAGAGTTTTACGGCACTCGCAACTGCATATGGTCATATGAGCGCCAGAAGATTAGAGGTGTTACAAGACAGTAACGAACGCAAAAAAAAGAAGGAGAGATATGGATGATAGAAGACGTTTGATAGGAAAGAAGGAGCAAACCACACCAGAGCACCTGCCAACCACCCACAGCTGCAAAGATAATAATAAGATAACAATTATATATATATAGTATTTCTATTAATGAAGATCCTTTCTTTATGTCCACAGTATTTATAAAGGAACAAAGTTTTCTTATGATCATCATCATCATCATTCTTATCACCCTTTTCATTTTTTTTTATCCCCATCCCTTTCATCATCCCAGTCCTTATCACCGTTCTCATCCTTATCACCATTCTCATTATACATATCATCTTTCTCATCTTCCTTATCATTATCATCCCCATCCTTTATATCATTATCTTTATCACTACACTTAATATTATCCTTATCAGCTTTATCACATCATCACCCTTGTCATCGCCCTCATAATCTATCATCATCCTTATCACCAGTCTCACCTTCCTTATCATCACTCTCATCACCACCACCACCCCCCCCTCCTCCCCACAGTACATACAAGAACACAGAGGGAACAAAGTGTGTCTGCTATGAGTGACCTACCACGAGTGGAGAGGTTTGGTACAGACCAGGTGTTCCACCACACACTCCTTCTCCTCCGGCATGCTGAAGTCTCCACACTCGTCTGACACACGCAAACACGGTACCAGAAAGAAAGAGAAAAAAACCATATTTTTGAAAAAATCATATAAAAAAAAAGAAGAAGCAGTAATTCAAAACCTCTAATTGACTGCTTAGCGAAAGACCCTTGCCACATTGTGCTATTTTGAAAAGTGACGTATGACGCGAGCCGTACACTGAGCAGTCAATATACACTGATTCACTAAATTAAGAAAGAAAGAAACTTTTCAAATTATCAAATTCATAATTCAATTCCAAAGTACATAATCAGTCTACTATCTTACCTGATAGAAAATACCCC